GAGATAGGGAAGGCTGGAAGCTGTTCAATTACAAAGCTGCACAGTGAGGCGGGCCCTGCTCAGGACAGCTGGCAATAATCTGCAGCTGGAAGTGGGGGATCCTTGGGGCTGCTGGTCACCTATTGAGGGGCTGGCAGAGAACGCTGTTTGGGGTTGAGAAGCACTGTGGGAAATGGTAGCAGGAAATTGAAAGGTTTTAATGGAAGGAAATGACTTGCTATGTTCTCGTAAGTTGAATAGAAACTCTTTCTTGAGATTCCTAAATGATGTAGCTAAGCAGTAAATCCAAATGATATTGGGAACAAAATTACACAATTCGGGCTTCTCCCTTTATTTTTAAGACGGTCTGGAGGTTTGGGTGGGTCAGTAGAGTGTGATTTTTTTAATTTTTTCAAGTAATTTATTCATTCATTTATAATCACACAGACACACACTGACCAAATCCCCCTCTTTTCTCCATTAACCTTTCTTATATTCCTTGTCTCTAACAAGACAATCTCTTCTTTCTAAGTCTTCTATTTTCATGGATTGTTTCTATGACTCGGTGCTTTAAATGAGAGCTGCTCATATGATCTTATTTGCTTGTGGGGGTGATTTGTTTAAGAGGAGCAATGTGCCTGGTGAGGCTATTGAGGAATATGACTTCCCTTCTTCACGCGACTTTTAACTACCTATAGCTAGAAGAATAGGACCTGATTTTCCTCTCCCCATCCACAAGAGGACACTGATGGACCCATAACTCAGTGTCATAGTTCTTTCTTATTTTTAAGGTAATGTGACATCAAACAAGAATTTATATTCACACAGTAAATGGTAGACATTCTTTCCATTACATAGTCTGTGTGTTACCACTGTGAGCAGTTTGGTGTTTTCATGTTCATTTACTTAACAGGAAAACTCAATAGACTTGGCATTTGTGAAAGAGGTTCCTGAGGCTCCTACAACCCTGTTTTGCCAACCTTCATGTATTTCACAGAATTCTGCTCACAGTAAACTTAGTCACTTGATTAAATCTCGTTTTGTTTTTACGACTCGTGGAATAATGAGTGTTTTCAAAGTAAAGTCATTCCTTTTGAAAGGAATTTCCTTGCAAAACAAATTGACAAGAATATAACCTTGGGATAAGAAATCAGAAATCTCAGCTAATTCAAATGTGATCCTGTAACTCACATGACTGCAAATGCCTGTCATGGTTTGCACACTTGTAAATAAACTCATGTGTGCATGTGTGTATAACCTGCAGTTTGTATCAAACATGGTGAAAAAGTTTTATCAGTAAAATTACTCAAAAGGAGAAAATTTAATAATTGCAAACTGGTAATATATCACTGAGCCATTCCTTAGGTATACCACCCTCCACTGCTGCATATTTTAGCTGCTTCAGATTTGAGATGCTGTAAACAGTGCTGTGCCTTACAATGCTGGGAGCTGGTTCTCCTATCATTTCCTTAGAACAGAGTCTTGTAAGAACATAAATTCCTCCAAGAGTATAACAATTTTCAAAACATGCCCACAAGCACAGTTAGATGACTATAGTGTTATTTAGATGGAGCTATACATATATACAATCAAGCTACTTTATTGAATGTTTGTTTAAAAGTATAATACCTTCTACCAAGTTCTGTGTAGTGTGTGTGTGTGTGTAGGGGGGGTGGTGGTTCTAGGTTCCTTCCCTCACCAAGTCCAACATGAGTCACAGTAACTTTTGAAACAGCTGTGAGTTTGGCAGAGAAAAAACTGCCACACTTTCCTCCTTTTCACTTCTTTCTGTTACATTGGTTAGACTGAGTATTGTTCTTGGATTTATTAGCCATTTTTCTTCCTTTTTATTGATCTGATAAAGCCTTCTTGAGGTTTAGTGTTTTTATACTTGATTTGTAAAAGCTATTTGAACATTAATGATATGATATGTGCTTCTGTGGCAAATATTCTATGGGGTTGTTTCATTTCAATTTTGTACTTAGTGTCAATACGCATGCATTTGAAGCCCTCACAAACCTCCCTCTGTAATTTCCCCCAGAGTTCAAAAGACTCTCGTGATTTGGGATTCCCCTCTATATACTGTAAATATGTTTTATTGCCATTGGTTAATAAAGAAGTTGTTTTTAAGTCAATGGCTTAATAAAATATAGCCAGGCTGGAAAAGATATATAGAGAGTCAGGGAGATGCCATGTAGACACCACGGGAGACAGATGCTGGACAGAGCCTTACCGGTAGGCTACAACCACGTGGCAATACACAGATGAATAGAAATGGGTTAATTTAACATGTAAGAGCTAGCTAGAAATATACTTAAGCTATAAGACAAACAGTATTGTAATTAATACAGTTTCTGTGTGATTAGTTTGGGTCTGGGCAGCCGGAAATGAAACAGCAGTCTCTGTCAACATTCTCCTTCCCAGATCTCTTCAGGTCTTACCTCTATGCTCCAATCCTTCTCTGATGTATGTTTTGCATATGAGATGGGGAGCCCAGTCTGTAGAGGAAATGGGGACTAAACTGTGAAAGAAGAACAATTGGCTGAAAGGGTCTGAAGTAAACTCACTTCTCCAAACTGATCCCTTGTTGACTGATTGCTGTAACTTCTTCATCTTTTTGTTTGTTCCTAGGCTTTCACTACTTCACCAATGTTGAGGCAGGCAAGGTACACATTCTCAAATTAATAACTGATTTCTCTCTTCAGTTGAAATCTGTCTAAACATCTTTATCAATACCTGATTTTTTGACAAAAAAGAAAAAATATCAAATGGGAAACAAGAAATCATATTTAACAAGTGATGCTGGCATAACTGGATATCAACATGTAGAAGAATGAAAACAGACCCATATCTATCACCATGCACAAAACTCAAGTCCAGATGGATCAAAGACCTTAACATAAAGCCAGCCATACTGAACCTTACAGAAGAGAAAAGTGGGAAGTACACTTGAACACATTGGCACAGGAGACCACTTTCTAAATATTACCCCAACAGCACAGACACTGAGAGAAACATTAATAAATGGGACCTGCTGTAATTGTAGAGCTTCTATAAAGCAAAGAACACTGTCAACAAGACAAAACGACAGCCTACAAAATTCGAAAAGATCTTCATTAACCCCACATCAGGCAGAGGTCTAATCTCCAAAATATACAAAGAACTCAAGAAATTGGTCATCAAAAGAACAAATAATCCAATAAAAAATGGAGTACAGACCTAAACAGAGAACTCTCAACAGAGGAATCTAAAATGGCAGAAAGACACTTAAGGAAATGCTCAACATCCTTAGTCACCAAAGAAATGCAAATCAAAACAACTCTGAGATTCCATCTTACACCTATAAGAATGGCCAAGAACAAAAGCACTGATGACAACTTATGCTGGAGAGGTTTTGGTGTAAAGGGAACACTCCTGCATTGCTGGTGGGAATGCAAGCTGGCTTATCCTTTTTGGATGTTGGTGTGGGGATTTCTTAGAAAATTAGGAAACAACCTTCCTCATGTTCACAGCAGCGTTATTTGTCATAGCCAGAACCTGGAAACAGCCTAAATGCCCCTCAACCAAAGAATGGATATGGAAAATGTGGTATATTTACACAATGGAGTACTACACAGCTGAAAAAATAATGACATCTTGAATTTTGCAGGAAATAGAAAACATCATTTTGAGTGAGGTAATCCAGACACAGAAAGACAATTATCACATGTATTTACTCATAGATGGTTTTTAAACATAAAGCAAAGAAAACCAGCCCACAAATCACAATCCCAGAGAACCTAGACAACAATGAGGAAACTGAGAGACATACATAGTTTTAATCTACATGGGAAGTAGAAAAAGACAAGATCTCCTGAGTAAATTGGGAGCATGGGGACCTTGGGAGAGGGTTGAAGGGGAGGGGAGAGATAGGGAGGAAAGCAGAGAAAAATGTAGAGCTCAATGAAAATCAATCAATCAATCAAAAAAAAAAGTGCAGCAGAGCATCCTGGCCCTAACCTCTCCTCTCTGTCTTCACCTTTGCTCTTCCAGCCCGCCTCTCCTCATCTCCTCCTATCTAGATTCTTGCTTTAACTCCACCTGACCTTGCTTATTATGGTTCCATCCTACACAAAATGTTCTTTTACTTTTTTGCATATTCAGAACTAAACCAAACAGCACCTTCCCCAGAATGCAATTCTGTAAACCTAGCCAATGACAAGCACTCAGTCCTTTCAATTTGAACAAAACAAAACAAAAACATATGATAAACTGTTGACTTTTAAAATATCATACTGAAATTAGTGTGTGTGTGTGTGTATGTGTGTGTGTGTGTGTGTGTGTGCTCCCCTCCCACATTAAACCATAAATATCTCAGTGTCATAGACTCTGGCTTTTTTCTCCTGTATGCCTGGCCCCAGCATGTATACAGCCCACACCATGCTTTAGTTCCTCAACAGTGTGCATCAGCCAAGATTGCCACCCATGTGATATCTACCAGAGGTTCTTTCAAGACCCGCAAGCATCATTTTCTTCTGTAAAATGAGATATGAGTCTAAAAAGCTGAAATCTTACTGAAAGCAGCTTTGTAACTAGGAAGGGTTTCATAAGGATGTCTACATGTGTCCCCACATTTGAATATATGTGCACATGACTGCAGCTCTTTTAATAGTTAATTATTGTTATAGAAAAATGACATAGAATTGCAAAATCACAAAATTTTAGAATGCCAGACATACACTTGCCATTGATGTACTTTCAGGCAATGGTTGTTTGCAGATGATTCTCAGGTGCCCCTGGGTTCCTTCCTGGTGGTTCTGGGGTCTTTCTAAGGAGGAGGTGTGGGTTCTCCTCTATGGTAATTCCTACCTGTGCTTATCTATTGCAAATTAACATTCAATCCAGTTTTCATGATTATTATTATCAGGCATACTTTCAAAGATTCTGAGACCTCTCAAGTGCATATTTCTGTGGTTATCCAGCTGGAACCCTGCTCACTTACATGGATTTTTGCAATCTCTTCCAGTTTGGTGGCTTGGCTTGTTAATTAGTACATTTTCATGAAACTGCTTAATAATACCTTGGGTAAAGATGATAGGATTGCCCTTTGCCGTGCTCTGGAGTTGCTGGCAACTGTTTTACTGGATGCTTGAGGAACCTGAACTAATTGAAAGTCAGAGAAATGAATCAAATCACTTCCTGCGTCTCTGTGAAATGTCAAATTTCTTGTGACTTTCAGGACAACTGCCACTGCCCATCAAAAATATTTGCTTTAGTAAGAAAAAGAAACACACGTAGACACAAACAATTTATACTAAATCACATGCTTAAAAACTTTCACAAAGTGAGTGTTCGTTGGTTAAGATGGCAATTAAATGTTAGACCCAAATAATTATTTCACAGGGCAAAAAGGATAACGTCATCTCACTTACAGGAAAGAGTCTCCCATAAACATGAACTTCTTTTGCTTATTCAGTCTTCCCTTATTACCTTACTTGGTTCTTCAGAAATTACAACCAGACACAAAAATCTCTTTTTCTGTCATGATAAAGCGGAGTAAATGAAGAGTAAATGACCAATTAAAATGCTGAGTTACATTTCCATTCACTATCTCTCATCCTCACTTGGTCCATCCTGTTTTGTTTCTTTGTTCATTGAGACAGGGCTCCACTTCGTAGTCCTCTGGCCTGGAACTCACTGTGTAGACCAAGCTGGCCTGGGAATCGTGGAGATTCACTTGTATCTGCCTCTGGAGTGCTGGGATTAAAGGTATCCACCACCACACAAAGTAAGAGCATTCCTTTTAATGCTTTTTAAAACAATATTGTTGGCAGCAACAATATTAAATATAGTTTTTGGTCCTGAACTCTACAGCGCTACTTTATTCTTCTATCTGTTGATGAGGACTCGAGGACATACATTAAAAGCAATAAGTTGGAGCTGTTTTCAAGTGTTTTCAAGCATCAATATTAATATTTGGCAATGATTGATAGACCTTGGAAACAGAGAGGGAACAGTTGGAGGTTGGATGAGGAGTTTAAAACATCGCTCAACAGAAGCACTAAGTTCCAGTGTTCTACATAACAGGGATGGTAGTTCACATAGGCCTACTATAAGCTTAATAAACAACTAAGAGAATGTATAGCAAAGGCTCTACATACAAAAATCAATCATGACAGTAGAAAAATTACTTTGATATTTATCAAGACACAATATATACACATATTGAATTACCACACTGTACCTCATAATCATGTGGTAACTTTTTGTTCATATAAGGTGAAAAAGGAGATCAAAGAGTAAGAGATAAGGTGAATATGATCAAAGTGTAGTATATTCATATATAAAATACTTTTCTCTGTATTACAGTTGCATGTCAAAAATTGAAAATAAACAAGAAAATAAAGATCTGTGTCAGTATATAGGAAGGAAAGAAAAGTAATTTAGGTCAAATCACTAGAGAGATAGATACAATCAGAAGATGCAAGTTTTTCATCCAATGGAAGTTGGAGCAATCTGTCCTGATGACAGTGGGCTCTCCTGAGGGTATCTTATCTGGGGAATATCATGGCTGCAACTTCCGAAGTATGTGGAATAGCACAGACCAGGATAAAGGAGATCTAGAAGTTTCTAAGGAATGAAGACTCCACTTTTGGTCTTCTGTCATAGAACACAGCAGAAAGTAAATTAACATTTGCTATAAAGGCTCAGGGTGAGGATGGGCACATTGTCCAACAGTAAAGTACATGTGCTGCTCTTGCAGGGGACCCCAAATCAATCTCCAGCTTCCATATTGGGATGTTTACCTCCTTTTGTAAGACTAGCTCCAGGAGATCTAACACCTCTGGCTTCTGTAGAAACTAAGACTGGATGTGCTATAATAGGAAGGAATTCCTTTCCCACAGACTTAATGATTTAAAGTCCAAGGTCAAAGCTCAAGCATCTGCTGGCGCTCTCCTTGCTCCATTGTCACCTGGTAGATGGGGAGAGGTGGGAGATGGAAAGAGCAGGCAGATCTCCCTTATTTATAGGGGCCCCAAAACCACCCATTAGTGGCAACCTCAAGACCTAATCTTGTCTTAACGATCTCACCTCTTAAGGCTGTCAGAATGACAAATAAAAATTCTGCATGAGTTTTAGAGGCGATAAACCTTCAAGCCACAGTATGAAAACAAAACAATGTCATAATAAAAGACTCACAGAACTTAAAGCCACCAGGCATCAAATCACATCTATAAACTCCACAGAGTGAGACTTGCTAGGAATGAATCCTAGAAGCTCCCAGTTCAGTGGGATGCCTCTCCCTACCTCCTCCCACCTTATTAAACAGGAGATTGAAGTTTTACAAGCTCTGCAGTAAATGCAAGTCCTTGTAGTTCCCAGGGCACTTGACAAGGAGATTCAGCTGTCATTATTTCACCCTGACTAGATGGTGTGGGGCAGGAGAGAAAAGGAGAGGAAGGATTTACCATTGCCCTTATTGTGGGGTGTTTTTGACAATCTGTTTTAGGATGCTTCTAAAGTCACCACAGAAACATCTGCCAAACACTCTGCTTAGGACAAAGGTTCAGTGTGATTCTATGTGAAGCTGCAACAATAGCCTATTTTTCCAAACTGCAAAGTGCGTTCAGACCTTACTGGAAACTTAGGAAAGAAAAAAAAAAAAAAAACTAAAACCTATTTGAAGGTTGGTTGCATAAAAGCCAACAGCTGCTACTTGGTTTTTTTTTTTTTTTTTTTTAAATAATATCTGCTTGAAAATGTCAAGGGCTTTTAAAATCTGCATCAATGAATCAAACCATTGTCACACAACTTGTGAAAAGTCAAAACACTTTAGGGTGAAGTTAGAATTGATGTTTTTCCTTTGCGGAGATGACATAAAAGTAAAATCTCAGAGATCACAATCTAAAGTAATTTTGTGAGAACTGCCCAAGCCCAAATCTTCCAATTAAATTCACGTTCCAGAAGGTAAAGTGTTTGCTGAATTACAGTGTCTAATTTGACAGATAAGGGTATCTCTTACCTTCATAAATATTGTATCAAGAAGTAAAATCAGACATTCTTCTACTCCTGATAATTCCATGGATATCAAGGAAAAGTAATTAATGTATTTTCAGTTTGGTTGAGGTATCCACATTCCATGATTCTTTTTCTAGGAAAAGAAAAGAATGCTTTATATTAACAAACATTTATTTTTATTTTTTTTTGGAAATGAGCAATGGTTACTGATGGATTTAAAATGAATATAAGGTCAGCTGTATATTTTCTTCTAGAATGTAAATTTAACCTGAAAAAAAAAGTCTCTCAATGAATTCCATTTGCCATTGGTTTGATAGTTAGGACTCCAGCAAACTTGGTTTATGATCAATCTGTGGACTTTGAGTTCTCAAAAACAAGCATCAAGATTCACAGGAAAGAGTTCGATGAGCATAATGTATTTATAGCCCTGATGAAGTGTTGAGTGGTGTGCATAGCATTAAATTGGTTCTTCTGTTGACAAGTGTGGTTAGCAATGGACAATGGAGTTTTTCACAAGAAATATTCTTTTTTTATATTTTTTTATATTTTCTTTTTATTGAGAATAAGAAAAAAAAGTTTCCGCCTCCTCCCAGCCTCCCATTTCCCTCCCCCTCCCCCCAATCTTCTCCCCCTCCCCCCTCTCTTCTCCCCCTCCCCCCACTCCTCTCACCCCCCCTCTCCTATCCAAAGAGCAGTCATGGTTCCCTGCCCTGTGGAAAGTCCAAGGTCCTCCCCTCTCCGTCCATGTCTAGGAAGGTGAACATCCAAACTGGCTAGGCCAAGCCGGAACATGAAGTAGGATCAGAACCCCTTGCCATTGACCTTGGCTTCTCATCAGTCCTCATTGTTCGCCATGATCAGAGAGTCCAGTTTTATCCCATGCTTTTTCAGTCACAGTCCAGCTGGCCTTGGTGAGCTCCCAATAGATCAGCCCCACTGTCTCAGTGGGTGGGTGCACCCCCCGTGGTCCTGACATCCTTGCTCGTGTTCTCCCTCCATCTGCTCCTCATTGGGACCTTGGGAGCTCAGTCCAGTGCTCCAGTGTGGGTCTCTGTCTCTATCTCCATCCATCACCAGATGAAGGTTCTATGGTGATATGAAAGATATTCATCAGTTTAGTTACTATCAATAGAAACACTGCTTGTCAACAGGAGTAACAGATGAGCTAAGAATCTTCTTCTGAACCTTCTTAGGCAGGCTACTTGTTTTTCCACCCCTGTGAAAATAAACTTATAGGAGAATCCTTCAGAACACATCTAGACCACAGTGCTGAACTGTGGTCTCCCTGATCTCCCATAGGATTAGTAAGGCTAAGCACTTAAGAAAGTAGAGGGAAGAAATGAAAGGAATTGCTTCAAGGTTGTCAACTTGCTCTATCCTGACTTACTGCAATGACCTAGACATGAGATCTTTCCTTAAGCTTAGAACAGCAGAAGCAAGAATGTAGTCAAGGGGTCATAGACTGCTTTCAGAGGTCCAGGATCTCCCTGCACTAGGATCTAGAGAAATTTTTCTCTATCCTGACCCACAACTTCTTCAATGCTATAATCACTGAATACCTTTGTTGTGCCATCCACTATGCCAAGGGATGTGGGATAATTATACCCTTTAGACTTTATATCCATGAAGTTTGTATTACCAAGGAATGCATTATAACTGAGGAAGCCGAGACACAGCATAGTCAAGTACACACACACACACACACTTCTGATGGATGACAGATAGCAGGGCCAGAATTTTAGTATTGGCAGAAGGACTTCACAATACTCAGTTTTATTCAAAAACTCTATTGAATTTATTTATATTCTGATGAAAATTGGCATGCACCTCTCAAGGCAAAAACTGAGTGATTTTCTATATTTTGATTTCACCTTTTTTCTTCAAAACTTTAACCTAGTGCCATTACAAATAGAATTCACTATGGCATGAAATATTAGCTGAAGCAGAGTGGGATACACAATACCGAATGTGTCTTCCATCACACATTTTCTGAGCATCATTTTTTTGTCTTCAGCTTTGGCCGTGGTCCCAGAGCAGTGATATACTTTAGCTTTTTTTTTTTTTTTTTTTGGTTGTTGCTATACAGTATGAGCCCCTCTGGGTCCTCCTTTCCTCATGGTTATACATTCTATTGCCTCCCTTTTAAATAGAAGTATTTATTTTCATTTTAAATATGTGAATATGTTCCTTTATGTATGTAATGCACCACATGGTGACTAATGTTTGTGGAGACGAGAAAGGGGCATTAGATCCACTGGAACTGGAGCTACAGCCAGTTGTGAACAGCCATTGGTTATCATAGACTGAGCCTTTGTCCTCTGAAAGAGCAGAAAGCACCCTTAATAGCTGATTCATTTCTTCAGACACATCTTTTGATCCTACACCCTGGTTTTCTTTCATCCTTCTCCAGCACATGTAAAGTGCCTGGCCCATGAGAATGATTTTGATTTTAACTAAAGAAAGCTAGATCATATGATTTCATTCTGTTTGTGGGAATGATATTTTCATTAACTATACTGGAAGGCCACGATAAATCTAGAATGAAATAATACATGTGATGGCATACAGAATGAAAATCAACACTAAAGAAAAGATATTCTTTTAGGATTATTTATAACAATTCCATCACTGATATTGACACAAGAATAAAATGGTTGTTGAGTAAAATTTCTTAATATATTTATAAAACATGTTTATTTTGCCTATTAGTCTGCTACATCTTGTTCTAGTTAAGAAAATTAGAAATAAGGAACTTCTGGTCTGGCTTTTAAGTTATCACACTGAAGAATGATGGTAGACCTAATACTCAGAGTGTGGAGTGGGGATTGAGTGACTGGTATACACTAGGCTCCAGGCTCCGTATTAGTCACTCTAACACAGGACCTCACCGAAGCCACATTAAAATCCTGTGAAAAGAAGTGTCTTGATTGTATGTGCGAAGGAAGGCATAAAGAAGCTAATGACTTACCCAAGTTCACACTTCTAAGTAGGACAATGAGGTTTTAATCTGCATCTGTGTGTGTCAAAAACTTGGTACTTTCATATGACTGAATAGTACCAACACTTGTCCTTCTACCATACCCATACAACACAAAGATCACAGGTTCAGAAGATTGGACCAGGAAGGGACTCACTGTGATGATTAAGGATGCAACTCAAAGTAGTTTATAAATAAAGGAGACGTCGTCATGGAATAAATCATCTGTTGAAGGGATAAGAGAACAGGTGAATCTAGTAAAAATTCTAGAAACAAGGATATAAATCTAAATGCCATTACAACTGTTCCTTCACTTCCTAAGCCTGTGTTTGTTCTCTCATGGACTTTTAGTCCATTGCACTAAGGCCTGGGTCACAGACTACTGCCAGTTCCCAGGCAGGTTGGTATCCTGTAAAAGAGTGCTGTATTAGAATCAGAGATCTTAAGTGTTTGCCCTGTAACAATGAGCTGAACCTAAAGAAATAGAGTTGAGCATTCTGCTGCACCACAGATAGAATGACAGAGCCTACTATAGCCACACCTCCTCTGCTTCAGAGAGCTCAGCATTTAGGAACTGAACAGGGCCTAGAAAGGAGGCTGAGACAAATAGAGAGAAAGTCTCCCCAGGAGGAGAACACATTGAAGTGCCAAGGCTTCAAAGGTCATTTCTTTTTTTTTAAAGATTTATTTATTCATTTATTATGTGTACAGTGTTCTGTTTGCATGTGCATCTGCAGGCCAGAAGAGGACACCAGATCTCATTACAGATGGTTGTGAGCCACCATGTCGTTGCTGGGAATTGAACTCAGGACCTCTGGAAGAACAGCCAGTGCTCTTAACAGCTGAGCCATCTCTCAATGGTCATTTCTTTCTTCCTGTACAGTTACTTTTCCTCACCAGGGTTTAGTCTCCTAACCACCTGACTTCACTGTCTCATTTGCCTAGCTGGTAGGTAGAAGAGAAAGAAGCAAGCATTTGAACTTTACCTTTTTGTTGCAATTAGTGTTTAATTTAGGGATGCCTGGTTTGGGTTCACTACTCCAAATTTAAACTCTTCATATTAACATAGAGTTGTCAGAATCACAAGGTCCTCATGTTTTACTTGAAGCAAGGAACACAAGATGTGTAGACTTATAATAACTTTATTTATCTGCAGAAAACTTCCATGCCAGAGTCAGTATATCTCAAAACTTTTGTACATGTGTTCTTGACAGATCCTGGGTTAGTCAAATCACATGACTTTAATATGCAGATTTCAAATCTTCTGGATCAGTATGTTTGAGTCATCTCTTGGGACTGGAGTTCAGCAAGGTGGAATATGATGTCTATGGACAATCGAATTTATCATCCTTTGGTCTCATGTGGTAATGGCTCAGACATATTGCTTGTGTCCTTTGTTGGTGTCCTACTTTGCTTTCTATTACTGTGAGAACACTGTTGCCAAAGCAGCTTGAGAGGAAATGGTTTATTTGGCTTATCTGTCCAGGAACTGCAGAAGAGACCATGGAGAGACACTGCTTAGTGACTTGTTCTGCTATGACCATGTGTCTGTCGGTGGCACCACCTTCAATGGGCTCAGACCTCTCATAGCAATCACCAGTCGAGAAAATGCCCTACAGATTGGACTGGAGACAATCTGATGGAGTCATTTTCTCAGCTGAGAGTCCTCTTCCAAGATGAATCTAGTGCATATTAAACTGATGACAAAGTAACAAGGATAGCTGGTAAAATTTAGAATCACCTTCCATATATTTCCATAGATATATATGGAAAGTGATTTCCATATATATACATATATACGTATGAATATATATATGTGTAAAGTGTTTATATATACACATTATATATATGGAAAGGAAAAATGTTCAAAATTAATGCTCCATAATTATCATTTTAATATATATCATCTAGTGTTTTTGGTAGTGTGTATATATATTACCAAAATATATATGCTATATGCATATACATATATGTATATATTGCAAAAATAGAGGATATATATTAAATGGTAATGATGGCACATTAATATTGAAGGTTTTTCCTTTTTTGTAGTTGTTACTTATAAAGTATCTCAAACAAGCATTTTTTTAGTGTGTGTGAATAAGTATGTGTATGTGTGTTATGCACAAGTGTAAGTGAAAGCTCAGGGTTTGCTA